ATATTTTTGATAGATTGGGTAGATTTGATATTGGTCTATAATTGTTTATGTCCGCCGGATTGCCTCCTTTATGGACTGGCGTAACTCGCTTTTTTAAGGATATCAGGGAAGGTGTAGGTCTTACACCTACCTAGTCTTACACCGCCTAGATGTGGTCTTACTATATTATTTCGAGTGACCTTCCTTCACTACGACAAGGCAAGACCTGTGGGGCAGGGGGGATTGACTATATAAAGCCCTACTTAATACTCACCAGGTCGGTCATGCGCCACGGGAGACATCTCCCGTCACGCAGGGTGCAGTTGCACCTCCACAGATCTCCAGTATCAGCTCTTGATACTGGTAATGGCTCAAAAGGGCCACCACTTACGGGCTATTCATGCCCGTGCCACCTTTTGGGTGGCTAAATCTTCATCAATCAATCATTCACCAGGTTTATTCGTGCCTGTGCCAACTCTTGGGTGGCTTAATCTTCATCATCATCACTCATCAGGTACCACTACGTGACTGCCAAGAGGCTTCACAACAACCGATTTGTGCGCCTGGCCGAGCGAGCTACTCGCCAAGAGGTGCCTTTCACACCCACCATATGCATTCACCTCTTTGCTGACCTTACTCCTATTCTCAAGTTCACTTAAATAATTGCTCTTTGCCAATGAATCATCATCCATTCATTCAATATTCCCAAACCATCTAAAAAGGCTCTCGTCCATCTTGCTATTGACTGACTTTTGCATTTCACATTTTTTCCTTCGCGAGTGTTGATGTGACGATGTGCACTGAATTTTGTAACTAGTTCATCAAGATCGTAACTTGCTTAGTTGAATTGTGGGGTTCAGTCCCTGAACCCATTATGTGCCTCTCTGTAACCCTTTCCACTACCACCCACAAGATGGGTATGGGGTGCATAATAAATGAACTAAACTCACTTACTCATCTAGTCTCCAAATACTACTCTTGCTTATCAGATTATTAATTTCTGTTGTTCTAACTCTTGATTTAAGTTCGTAACATAGTATCGTCTCAAAATCACACACAGGAATTGGTGCCACCACTCCTTTATGGAGACCAAAGGTTCGTTACAGAGGTTGGCGATGAATAGTACACTGACTTTGTGAAAGATAATGTGCGCACTACTTTTGAGTACTGGTAGCGGTAGATTTGGTGGCTTCTGGTTACACGGTTTTTCTTAACCACCTATGGAGTGACTGTTTGCTGCTGTAATTTGGCAGCTCCATATTCCTGTTCACCTGATGACATTTCTAACTATAGGCTGCTCGTAATTTCATCGACAAGAGACTGTTTGGCTTCTGTTGGATGTTGTTAGTAGTTCATGGACGTCTTGGAAGATGTTGCAGTGTTATTGCAGATGTTAAAGTTGCAGTGGTAAATGGGGTTGTTGCAGACTATTATTTGAAGCATGTAGAATTTCTTGGGAATGTATATTGATGTAAGGAATGTGTATTGATGTAATGAGTATTGATGGGATTATTGGGTACAGTACCTATAAGTGTTTTGCCATGGAATTTTTTGGAATGTGGAGTAGCTGCTGTGGCAGCAGTAAAAATATCACTGGATGTTTTCACAGAAAAAAAATTGTCCAAAAATTAATTCATTATATTCATTTTGTTGAGAGACAGGCAGCCTGAGTATATACATGTTAGGCTTATATTGAGGTCTTCCCAGAGTTGAACTACTGATTCTCCCAAGGATGCAACCCCAAAACAAGCAAACTAACTCCAGGGTACCTATTTACTGCTAGGTGAACAGAGGCATTAGTTGATATGAAACATGCCTAACCATTTTTCTCCCGCCCGGGATTTAATCCTGGAGTTCCCTATTGTGAATCAAGAACGAACTTAACTGGGACCCTCTCCTCATTAAATAAGATTTTATATGGTTTTAAAGATATTACTATAGTTATTAAATAATTATAATTAAAATAAAACTTTGTTGAATCTTCATTTTCCAGCAGAAAAGTTGGGTCAGTGTGATAGATACCAACCTTAATTGTCCCTGAAGACATTTAATATCACTTAGTACTGTACAACAAATATGCATAATTGCAAAAAAAACATTTTATAATTTTTTATATTTAAAATAATAGGGGAGGGGGGAAGGATTTACATTGTTTTTATAATTCATAATTCATTTGTTGGGGGACAGGCAGCCAGAGTGTATTTATACACATTAGGCTTGTATTAAGGTCCTCCCCCCAGGTCGAATTAGTGACCCTCTGTACCAAGAAGACAACCCCACAACAAGCTGACTAACTCCTGGATATCTACTTACTGCTAGGTGAAGTGGGGCATTAAGCGATAGGAAATGCACGCAAACGTTTCAGTCCCGCCCGGGATTCAAACTCGGGCTTCTCAATTGTGAGTGGAGAACGAACCTGGCTGTACTACTGGAACCCATCATATTTCTAACAAGGGTAAATATTCCCATGTATGACACTGTTGGGAAATAGGGAAATTCCAAATACTGTGCAAGTACACAGAATTAGGCAACAATAAATAATCATGTTAATGCATATGGGTCATATTTGTGAACTGTCTCCCTCATATTAAACTGTCATCCCACCTGACTGCACCACCCAACAGGCAACCTGATATATATATATCCTTTGCCTAGCAAAGGATATATATATCATATTCATATATGATATATGATATATATATATCCTATGATATATATATCATATATCAGGGAGCCGGTCGGCCGAGCGGACAGCACGCTGGACTTGTGATCCTGTGGTCCTGGGTTCGATCCCAGGCGCCGGCGAGACACAATGGGCAGAGTTTCTTTCACTCTACGCCCCTGTTACCTAGCAGTAAAATAGGTACCTGGGTGTTTGTCAGCTGTCACGGGCTGCTTCCTGGGGGTGGAGGCCTGGTCGAGGACCGGGCCGCGGGGACACTAAAGCCCCGAAATCATCTCAAGATAACCTCAAGATAAGATAGCAATGCACCTGACAAGACAGCCACCTCACCTCCTCCTGGAGCCTGGGGGACCAGCACCCAGCCAGCCACACCACTACCCACCTCACCACCATGACCCAAACCAGCAATCTCTAACAGCAACAGCTTGATGCCATCTTGTCGGCAAGATGAAGGGTAATGACATTAGCCACTACATCTCCACCCTCAACAGGATACTTACAGATAATGGTCTTCCAACAATTACAGTACCAGCTGATCTTCTCCCTGCTCTTGCAATGCCTGCAACCACTTCTACAATGACACACCCAGCACCACTTGATCCAGCAACACCCACTGCCTTCTACAATTGCTACACCAGTGACTGATCTTGTATCCTTGACCCCAGAAATGCCGGCTATTTATCTTGCATTACAATCTACTGACACATCGGCTTCCACAGCTTACATTGCAACAACTGCTGTACAACTTCCAGCACTTGCTAATGACAATCCCTACAGTCCCCATCCTGGAAATAGGAACCTACAATATCATCTATATTACTAACATAATTACACTCAACAATACCCCAGAACAACGACATGAGGAGACCATTTACTGGAACTATCGATACCTGGAGGAATTGAAACTAGAAGAATTGAAGTGGCCCCAAGAGATGGGTAATGGAAGCTGAGAAAATCTATCACTGGAGCAATATCACCTTGGTACACCAGGACATCATTGACCTCATTTTGAGAAGTATCCAATGTCAGAGAGAGCATAGAAATGCAAATTCAAACCAGGAGAAGGTACAGAAGCCAAGGAATACTCAGAAGAAACCGGAGAAGATTCAACAAGATAAAACCAGGATGGGAAACGAAGTAAAATGCTGCCAAGATAATTGAAGAATTAATCCTGCAACACCAGCAAGATTGCATCACCACCAAGCCCCCAACTGCCTGCACCACAACACACAATCGCTACTCACAACTCAATTCAATTATTTTATCGATGCCAATCCAATTGGCTAGAAAGGTTGGGTCCAAGAGCAATTGTGCAGGCACAAATAGTAAACACATTCAAACTAAGGGAATAAGGGTGCCAAAAAAATATTAGAAAGTTATCTTTTGCAGAGTGGTAGACAATTGGAACAAATCAAGTGAGAAGGTGGTGAGAAGGTGGAGGCAAAACTGTCAGTAGTTTCAAAATGTTATATGACAAAGTGTACTGGGAAGACGGGACATCACGAGTGTAGCTCTCATCCTGTAACTACACTTGAGTAATTACACACATACACACAAACACTTACTTCAGGCTTGCTTGTATCGAGGTCCTCCCCAAGGTCAAACTACTGACTCTCCAGGATGCAACCCCACAAGAGTTCCCAAACAAATAGGTACTTATTTACTGCAAGGTGAAAGGAAACGTGCCAAGCCATTTCTGTCCCACCAAGGAAGCAAACCAGAGGTCCCTAGATCCCATTTGCAAGTTGAGTGATGGTGAGCAACTGAGCCTCTGACGTACTGTACTGGTACTTCTAGAGATTCTTAGGCCACAACAAAATCGGTGCAACCAGGAACACTTCTAACAGGCAGGTAGATGGCAGGGAAGTAGCTATTACTTCAGAAGTATGGAATAATCAAAAGTAACAAATCTATGTACAAGAAACCAAAATACTTCAAGTTTACTGAATCTTCCCATTTCAGCTCTCCAAATAACAATGAGTAAAACTATGTTCCATTAAATAAACAACTTCAGTATTTGTAGTCACAAGATCTGCCAAAAATGCTAGGAGGGCTTGTCACAATGTTCATGTGGGACAATTAACATTTTTCTCTGCGTCCGAGAGAACGAGCATGCATACAATAGAATGAACATTCGTGTGTGCACACAAGAGAATGAAGATCTTACGTGTGCATACAAGATAATAACCATTCCTATTTGAACAAATGAGACTGATAATGCAGTATGTACAAATATGAATTCATATGTACACACATGCACATACCTGTGAATGTGTATATTATACCAATTAGCATTCATATACAGTAGACAAATCATGGCACAATTATAACTTCCATATAAAAATACAGATTTTTTATTTCAAGATTTTTGATACATTATAAGTGATAATATACAGATGTGTTGATAATTGAAGATCTACCCTAGAATTTCCCTGGATGTAGAAACATTTAAATCAACAAAGCATTGTGTATGCATAGGGGTATGGATTTATTTTCTAAGATTAATCACAGTATTTGAAGGTCTCACTTTACACCAGTATCTTAACCTATGCACCAAATAACACATTCAGGCGTTGCTTTGACGTATGAAGCAAATGTACTTGAATCATATCCAAGGGAATCGTACCGATTATATTTCATACATGCACCACTAATTATATACAAATTGATATCGAGTATGAAAAAAAAAACTGATGAGATGTATATGAAACTGAACAGTTAAAAATTTCTAATAAATTGTTTGTTATACAAATTTTCAGCCTTTTGTGCTTAACCTTTAAAGTGCAGTTATCATTATACGTTGGTCCCCAGGCTAACAGTTTGAATTTAATTTTTAGAATTACTATTCGATTTTATACCCATATTATTAATATGGATAGAATACACCTACATGGATTATTGTCAAATGACAATTTGGTCTTCCCTCCAAATTTCAAAATTTTGGGATGATGCTCCAAAACAGAATAACAGTGAAGCAGGTTGCAAGACACTTCCGTTGTGCAGTACCAGGGACAAGTTTACATGTTATATAGATGTACATATTGCATTGCAAGCATATATATTTATATATATATATAACTCATTGTACTGTACTCTGGTTAATTATTACAACAGAATATAATACAAACTAATAAGTAAAGCCATGAATATAAAAACCATCCAACTTGATAGTTGGGTGAGCACTCTCGCCCTTACGCCACGACTTGTCAAACTACACATTTCTCGTGCTGATGCACTCATTGACCCCCTCCACCCGGCTAATGTACAACTCCCAGAACCAGAAAAGAAGCACTTATTTAATTTTTGCCCTTTTCTTACTTTTTGCATGAAAATATATCATTCAAATTTTTTTTTGTTTTGTTTTTGTTTTTGCACAAAGGCTGAGTGGCCCTTTTGATAGCCGCTCTTTAAGGATTAATCCACAAATTTTACATATGAAAATAAGAAATTATATCCTTTGTAGAACAATCTTCACACACACAAAATATATTTACAGGAGATCCATGCTGGGACCACAAACTTGAAACATTAACTGCAAAATTTAACGAAAGACAAATTGTACCTGGATATGCCTTCCTCAGTCTAATTAAACAAATCTATGACTTCCATAACAAGAAAATGTAACATACATATATATATATTGTCACCTTTTCAGGATACGCCCTTCACCAGCATGAGAGATCATCAGATTAGGACAGAAATAATTGTTTGAATTACATCCAAAACTTGATGTAATTTACGCTCTTGTAATTTCTGACTAATACCTTAAAAAAAAATCATACATTTCTAATGTACATTTACACCCTTGGAACTACTCAAATAATTTGCATTCATTATAATGAGCATTTGATACAAAATTTGTCATTAAACCAACACTTTCAAAACATTAATTTTTGTTTTGACTGAGATTAATACTCAGTCATCCTGAGTATTTTGTTGTTATAACTTGAGTTAAATCTTCACGTTACTTACCGAACGTTGTGACCACCATGTCTCTCGACCATCAATTATTACAAACACAAAATGCTTGTCACTTCCTTGTAGTAGTAATATAAAATACCTTAACAAACAAAAAAAAAATAACTAACAATAATGATTAATAAATGGTTTTATAATCTTTTGTAAAATACAGATTTATATATATTGTACATATGTATATATATTTACAAAGTATCAGATCTGAAGAGACTGAATATCATCTATGAACATTTAACACTTGTTCACTGGTAACTAATTATCGTCCATTTAGAATTTACACACAGACATAATCCAATCTTCTAACACTAAACCAAACATTAAACAAAGTTAAAAGGATTTACAGTACTAGTATTGTGAATAAATATACTGTATATATATATCATTCTATTACTCTATGCTTTACAATTGAAGCCACACACTATCCATTATGTTGCTGACCTGTATTATGAAATATTTTTGATATTGCATGAACAAAATTATTCAACATTAAATAATCACTTGTCAGAATAGCATAGATAAACACTGTAACAACTGAGGAGACCTACTTATAACCTTTGTTGCACAAGGAGCGTAGATTATCACAGGACTTATATCTCAAAGATAATACAAGGCTAAAACAGCACTTGTCTGTACAGTTAAACACACTCCTCTTTCTTCCTCAGATAAAAGCCTTAAGTTAAACATGCCCTATATTCAAAAGTAACAATAGAAAATCCCTATCATTAATAACTCTGCCCTGTACTTGTTCCCATGAGTGAATTTTGTTTCTTTATTATGATGGAAACAGTGGATTAAGTTAATCCCTTCCTAATTGCTGACAAATGGTAGCTATTATTTGTATAGCTGTCTGACATCGCAGACTGGATAATGCACGACATGGTTGTATCGCCAGTACAAACACCAAAATGCCAGCCACCTACACTTCTCTCAGATAAAGCAAAAAATTTTAAATTCATGTACGGTACAAAGTCTCTACTCTGGACTGAGTGAAGTACAGAATGTGCATTCTAAACAAATGCAGCATACACACAAATGTAATTATGCACTGCACTGTGTTGTGCTTATATAAAACACATTGATAATTCAAGATTCATTTATATAAAAATAAAGCACTGTATTCCAAATGACAGGCAAACACAGTATTAAGAATGATGACATAGATCCTTATGTATCTCTGAAATCCCCCACATACTTATTTCATCCAACTTTATTATTTCATCAGGAATTTTCCTGTCATGTCAGTATAGACAATCACAAATTTCTTAACGTCAAGAGGAGTGCACACTACATTGCTAATTACTTGTACATAAATACTACAGCATGTTGATTTAAGACACATTAAAGAGTCAGATTAAAATCCACTGAAAATAAAATAAAACTCCTCTACCACTTTTAATGATCTACACCAAAACTTCAGGAAATGAATGACTAAAATAGTTTAAAATCCCAGACGAGCTAAAGCCATCTGCCGCCGCAGCTTCACTATCTCCCAGTACACGTCATGAACTGTGGGGAGAAGAAAAATCAGACTGAGTAATATGAAAAGTTACTTTCTGAGCAACTGACACTCTTATACTATTTAAAGCAACCTCACAGACTGTCCCATTGTACATGATCCTTACAGAGTCTAGAACGTCCTGCAACAGTGCAAAAGGGAATTATTCAAAATGTTTGTATTTGGCCACATAGGTGCTAGGGATGTATTGGAGAAAAGCTCAAGTTCAACGGGAATGACCATCAAAAAGTACTCCCAGAAGCACTTAAAAGTTTTTTCCAGGACCACCTTAGCATCACATGGATTGTTAAGTAGTGCTCTGACCCAACTGTTAGCTTACCAGTGGGTTGGTGCCACTGACCACCACCAGATGACAGCACCCAAACCAACACAAGGTCGTTAGCCTCAAGCCTACGTCATTCTGACTAAACTGGAACAAATTCTGTACAAAGTAGTAGTTACAAGGTAGGAACCACAAAACTCCAGATAGATGGGCATTCAAATAAGCATTCCAGAGATGAAGAAAAATGAGCCAAGTGCTGTTTAGAATCACCAGGCAAACCTCGAACATGGTGGGGATTCATAATATGTGAAAGCATAAGCCTATTCAGAAAGAATGGACCAAAATAAAGTTAGGGTTTAGAAAAGGTTTTCTGCACTTTCAGGCACTTAAGGCACTCTGACACAGGCAAGTCAGGGTGCAAGGGAAACGACTTGGAAAACAGACAAACCTAAACAGAAACATGATGAGAGTGATAGTAAAAGTTTCCAGATATGAGGAACACACACACACACACACACATATGACCCCAGTGCAAGGCCCAAACACACGCCAATAGTTAGGACAGTCACTTAATTTGTCTATGCAGAGACTATGAAGAATAAAGTATTACATTAAGCACAAAATAAAGGATAAATACTAACACTGTATTTAAAACAAAACACTAGGCTCCATCAACAGGATTCAGAGGGAAGAATAAATATCATGCACTGCCTGGAAGTGAGGCGACGCAAAAAGAGTCGCACATTGAGAAGGAAACTTGCAACCCTCTCATTGCAAATATCTTTGGTGGCATACAGGGAAATCTACATCCTAAGGTAGGGGGACCCTTGCCATTACCAGAGCAAATCAGATGTTAGGGAACATGCTATGTGGGGGTTGCATAAACACAGTTGTGAAGAAAAAATAAAATAAAGCAATGACCCCTGGTAGAATAGAAGTTCCAATGAAAGCCAGTCGCACTGAACTGAAATTAATAAACTGAAGGGGGGGCCCAGCAGGGACCGAAGCAGTGTAGATGCTGTCACACCAGACGAACATTTGAGAGGCCTGACTGGCTGGCACCGTGGGTTACCTGGAGGTGGTCAGGAGCATCGGGTTGATTTCCCTACAACAGTGATCAATCACTTTGTTTACTGGGGGATCACTTTTTCAGGTTGGTTGTTTTGCTAAACCTGTACTTTCTGGTGGGTTTTACCCTGGGATGGGATGATGTCTACGGTTGTTCAACACCCTCCCAGCGAGCATAAAAAATATTGCCGAGACAACAGTGGACATCTTCAAGAGGAAACTAGATAGTTTCCTCCAAGGAGTGCCAGACCAACCGGGATGTGGTGAGTATGTGGGCCTGCGGGCCGCTGCAAGCAACAGCCTAGTGGATCAAACTCTCACAAGTCATGCCTGGCCTCGGTCCAGGCTTGGGGAGTAGAAGAACTCCCAGAACCCCATCAAGCAGGTATCAACCAGGTATCATGTGTGATTCCATTTCTCCCCTCCAGATTCTGATACTGGTTTCCAGGAGGCAACAGATGGGTCTCCAGAAGCCTGGTGTGTGTGGGGGTCTATGTGGCTTAGTTACCCTATGTATTTACCTGAATTTACCAGAGGGTCACTAACATTCTAGTGGCCTTGATGAAGACAGGAAGCTGGTGGCTTGTCAAAAGGTCACCCCATTTGTCCTGATTGATCTAGCTGGATTTTAAAATTCAACAGACTTGGTGAGCTACTGTAGGGGGCCATCCTCCAAGAAATATATATGTTTTATGCATATTTATTCATATTTCTTTGTAAAGTACATTATTTCCAATAAAATACATTACATGTAGTTTTATGCTGAATATTAAAATATCCTAATGAATTTTTTTATTTCTAACAAAGTGTTAATTCATTTTATTGTTTAAGTTAACATCCTCCAGCATGCACTGATACAGATAAACAAAATTGCACTATACTGAACAGTACATAAAAGTTTGATTGGGGTTCTAGAACAATTTATAATAACTGGGATTTTTTATGATATACTGTTTACATACAACTCGGCCAAAGCTTGCAAGACCTAAGGTGATAAACAAATGTTTTTTTCTACACAGAGCCAAGTGTCCTTAAACAGTGCCTAGCACAAATACCTAAACCTGGGACCAATCTCCTGCAAATCATATATGTAGTATAAAGGAAACCTAAGAAAGAGAAGGAACAGAATCCCCAAAATGCAAACTAAATTGGGACAGAAATGGAAACGAGTTCATGAAATGCACAAGACTTACCAACACTCAAATACATCCTGCTGCCCTAGCAAGTATATAACATGTACTCATTATAAATGAAACCAAGGTAAGTATCTAGAATGAGTTTTTTCAATCCTAACTGAGACTTGCCTAAACTACCATGGGGAAGAGTCATAAGAAATGCAATTAGTCTTAGGCTGGGGATCTGACATTTTCTTGAGTGCTGCCATATGGTGGTGGCAGCCATAGAATCAAGGTTAAGCTGCATCTCATACGAACCCATCCTTGACCCTTGTGTGACAGCGCACAATAGAAAGTTGTATTTACATATTTGTACATTAAAACATTGATTGTAACCATGATATATATGTGCTTCAGCCTACAGTTCAGACCTATTGTCTTGTGTATGACCCTCTGTCCTGTGTGACAGTGAATACCAGCATTATCCTCACTCTAATAAGACCTAATTGACAGATTATGATTAGGCAGAATTGGCAAAATTTTGCCTAAGATTAGGATTTGCCTATAGATTAGGCAAAATTGTAATTAAATTTTGTCAATAAAGATGTTTATAATAAATAATAAGGAACTTTACCAAAAATGATGAGCAATTTTACAAGAAAATGCTCTCATACTTACTTGAGCTCTTGACTAGACCAAGTTTAATGTATCTTAAATAGTTGAGAAAGTCACAGATGGCAATAATCTGCAAAGAAAATTATTCACATATATTATACAGTAACATGTCAGCCTATTTGAAAATAATTGGAGAGAGCACCAGCATAATTCACACAAAATGGGCTACAAGATGCAGTTCAAGTTGAATATAAGGAAGCTTGTATAACTCTCAATACTGTAATTAGTGTTGAATAGCCTTAAAGATACATAGGACAAAGAGATCAGGTCACGGCTACTTTAACCAATTAGCTCCAGCTATTTTGTAAACATCTTTCCTCAAATTCAGAAAAAAAAATCAATTCTCTATTAGAATTGGTGAAAAGTCATTTAAAAAGAGATGGGAAAATTACAGTACTGTACAGTAGTTAAAAAAAATAGTAATCAAATAATTCCTTGCCAGTGTTGGCTTGGCATATTAGCAATGTCATCCTTAGAAGCTGATGTTGCCGCTGCCACCCGCAGGAAGCCAAGTGTTGTTTCTATACATACTGTCACATTATTTACACATTATTATACAGAAATTATTGTCAATTATAAATTACATGTATTCTCTAATATTAGAAATCACTATACAGGTAAGATTGTTATTACCATACTGTATATGCAACAAGTTACAATTAATTTTTTAGTGGAGAATAAAGCCAACTGTACTACAAGATCCTATTATTCAAGAAACTGTTCATCTTTTGTTTAAAATTTCCGAATTTACAGGCATCGGGTTCTATTTAATTTCTCAATTAAAAAAAAAAAAAAATCTGTAACTGACAATCTTCTCTGACCTGATGTATTTACAATTTATAAACAGTTTAGATATCTTCCATATCTCTTCTTCCAGGTCTGGAAGGAGGTCTTCCAGACCTCCAGTCTGACACACACACTCAATGGCAGACCATCTGTTTTTTATGTCAAGCTTTCCTTTGATAAATTTTGTCTTGCTAGTTATCTCAATGTCATTTTCCTTTTATACCCAAGCCTTAAAGGCACACTCATGGTGGGAACAGTATTGGAGACAGACAAGAAAAATAAATTGCTTGAATCATATTCACCCAATTCATGTACATTACTGTCCATAAATGTCTGCAAATTGGCAAAATTTATATAGTGCAATATTCTAAACTGTAAGCTCATATTATTAGAAAAAGCTTTTTATCTTACCCTATTTCTGGCCAGCTGTGAAATGTAATACCAATCGTCAGATTCCCCAAGTCGAAACCGGTACTTGCAGAACCGAGGAACATCTAACAACACACACTTCCTGTACGATTGCAAACAAAATAAACTATAAATTTACATAGGAGATGTATTGACAGTAATCTAATTATAAATACACCAAATTAATGCTTGTAGGGCAACTATTAAATCTTAACGAACAAGCCATATCCCTAGTCTGAACTGTGTGTGTGGCAAGTCTTAGGCAAGAGGACATAAGCTTAGTTAAGAGGCAAGAGAGAGAGGACAAGAGTGACCAGTTGCGGGAGTACTGTAGCAAGTAAGACCACTCCAGCCAACCCTGTCTGGCTACACAGGTACAAATCAGCATGACATGAGGTGGTAGTCAACAATGTTAGTTCTCAGATTTATAGCAAGCACCATCACTGCACAGGTTTTTACATTATGTTAGTTAAATGTTTAGATTCCCGCTGCCTGCCACACAATTCTGAAATAATGAAATGTAACACCAGCTTGGATAATAAAATATTTAGTTTACCATACAATTCCAAATGTGCCCTTCAGCTATTGCTCATAATTGCAATATCTACAATATCTGTTCAAACACTGAAGATTTTGATGTCAATTGCATAATTAGCCATTTATAATAAAATCCACACTAATTGTGGCAACTTTAATTATAATAAATACAGTAAACATTTGACTCAACAGTACCAAGCTAGAGACCTAAATGAGCATAGTACTGCAGTTCATTCACAGGCAAGTATATCTGCTACTTTTAATCAATATGCAAGGATTTATTAAAGGGATCAAATGGACTTTCTTGCAAATGCACACTTCATGCATTAAGGGGTCTATCAGCTCTTAAATTACATTCTTTAATGAAATTCTGGATCAAGGGCAGTACAATGCATATCAAATTGAAAAATAGGCATGAATTAAAACCATTCAATGAAAAAAACAATACAACAATACAGAAGTTACAAAAATAAACCAAACACATTTTAATCATCTGGGGTCATAAGAGTAAAAATGCTACATCTTCACAACTGCGGGATAAAAGGACTGTCATGTCATTAAGAGCAATCCAGGGATCATACAACATTCAGGGCAGGAGGGACAGGAGGGGCAGGACAATGCATGGCCAGTTAACAAGCTAAACAACAAGATGAAACTTATAGCAACCTGGTTTCATCGGGGTCAACTCTGAAAAAGATCATACACAGGATCTCAATAAGCATTGTGCCAGTTAATTATATAAAAAATACACACACACACACACACACACACACAAACTACTTCTGCATAACAAGGCTTCATAACAATTACTTGGTTTTTATTTTACATAGATGAGATCACGCAGTAAAGCTGCTTTATTTAAAAGTTCACACAAGATTGATGCCCTATTACTTCCATACTTGCTGACTGGCCTAATACTGAATATGCTACATCTGAACCAATATTGATCAAAACATTTCAACATTATTGATTTAAAAGTATGAAGAAATGTTAACAGAAAAGGAGAAAACAGTATACTGTATACTGAACAGATAATGCAAAATGTGAAGATACACACATGATGCTGGAGTGAGATTGCTGCTACAGAGAAGACAATTTGGAGCATGGGTACACCACTTCTCCCACAGCAGATCTTTCATCATCATTGACCAATTGTTTTACTATCATAAATCCATCCATTAATCTTTCTAAAAGCCCTGTTACCTCAAGAAGTTGCCAAGTCCCAACCAAGAAATATATATCTGCTGGTGTATCTAAACACTCCTCCTAAACGCTACACACATTTTCCGAACTTTAAATACTAGATTCCCTACTGGCAATTCAGAGTAATTTAAATGTTTAACATAATAATAATAATAACCCCTTTGCTAGGATGATACCCAACAAAACTTATTGTTATATTAACCTTACTTGCTATGCATAGTAAGAGAGGGGGGGGGGAGGGGAATTAAAGCAGGGACACCAACTCCATAAATAAATACAGAAAAAAATTATAGGAATAATGCTGGACAGATTCTTTATAAAGTTATCAAACAAAAATGACACGTCAACTCTGAATATTCACATGACAACCCTACACATACTCATATTAGTATGGCAAGCAAGGAAGCTTCAAGATCCTAGCTGAATACAGCACATTATGACATCAAGTCATATATGCAACACATTGTAAATAGTTGGTCTGAAGTACTTATTGTTCATTTAGTACTGTTGTATACTAATTCAGAAGTTGCCATTAAAATGTTTAATTATTACCAGGACAAGCCCCAGGGGGAGGCACTAAAAATCTCTCAACAAACACAGTTATCACAGCTTCTCAAAGTATTATCTCTTCCAAAGATGCTGCACAGGAGTCTATGCATTTACAGAAACACATACACGACCTTACAGACAGCTAAACACACAACAAGGACAACACAACATGTCTCACTTTGAAATAGACATTTGAGTATAACAATTCAAAACCAATGCATGCATGCTCAGGTCATGTTTATAATGACGGAATGACTCAAGCTCAATGAATGAACTAATCATTAACTTCACTTACTAAGTAAATTCGTTACGAAAGACTTGACCAGTCCACTTTTTTAATATAATATACAGTACTGTACTAAAAACTGTACATACATATCTAGCTCCTATCATATAAATAACTATTACTGTATCTTTACTAATCCACCTCTATCCTCTTACAATGTTTTTAGTCTTATTTTCCAACCTCTTAATCATCAACATTTCCACACCATCTTAAACAACCTTTATATAATGCACCTACATATTATTTTATATATATATATAAAGTTTTCAAATACACTTGTTACTAACAAGTCATTTAGTTCACTTATTACCTGGAGATACCCGAGGCATACCTGGAGAGGTTTTCAGAAGTTCTTCTACTCCCCAGGCCGGGTTTGACATTAGATGCACTATTGATGATATTAGATGCGCTATTCAATCTGGAACACTTTTGGTTGCTAGTGGGCAGCCACTTGTATAACCTTAGTCAAACACTTCAACTGTGTTCTAGTGTTAATGTTCAGCGGCATCATTAACATTTAGCTAGTGCTTTATTAGACGTCGCTTCCTTACTCGAATCTAGTTTTCATATTTTTTGGTGCATTTTTATTAAGAACAACCAATATTTTTACCATATTTGTTATTAATGTATATTTTTTAATACATAATGAATTGCACAAGCTGTAAGCATTTTCAAGCAATTGTACATTATTTCAAATTAGAAATATTTACTTTTTAGTGCATTTTGTGTAAAATACAAACAAAAATCTAGATTTTTGGGGGGGAGGGGGGTTAACAGCAATATGGGAATATAAATATAAATATAAGGAGTATTTAAATGCTTCTTTCAGGGGCCGAGTCCTCTGTTGCTCCCCAAACACTGGCCTTATGGTTTACTCGGAATCCAGCATATTGGTATTTGCCTTTCCATTGGAAAATTTCAATATCATGGAGAGGGGAAAACCTGCTGCATGGGTATCAGTTCCTCCATATTACCTACCCAGCCTTTGCGCCCTGGAGGGGATACTTCAGCCTCAACAACCCGAGCACAACTCCATAGTCTCCTGAGACTGCAGGATGCCTACTACTAATACAGTGTATGCACAGTAAGTATGTGTCCTTTGAAATGGTCTTGGCATACAGCGTAGCCAGGGAGACAACATGGGCCATTTCAATTTACCACCACATGTATGTTTGCTGTAGCTTCGACAACCTGGGTCATAATGTTCCCAACCCAAATGTCTTGCGATAACCAGATTTTCAGAAAATATTGCTTTTTTTCAGCATGTGTATTGTACAACACTGCACATGTTATTTAAGATGATGCAAATAAAGTGTCTTCCCTGCCTAAAACTGTATATATATAACTATTCTTATTCAGACTTTGAAGACGATTAAGATATTTACGCAAACTGTATTGTGTTATGTTAATCAATTTCACCAAATATTTTAAAGCAATTATAAACAATTTATTGTATGCAGACAAGGAGTCACAATAACGTGGCTGAAATGTGTTGACCAAACCACACACCAGAAAGTGAAGAGACGATGACGTTTCGGTCCATCCTGGACCATTCTCACAATTGACTTGAGAATGGTCCAAAACGTCGTCGTCCCTTCACTTTCTAATGTGTGGTTTGGTCAATAATTTATTGTATTCCATCAAAGTGATAAGAAGAAATCGCACATAGCATGTAGCTCCCATCCTACATTAATATTAATGATAACTCCTGCTTCAACCCGTTCTCGCAAATTCGTATAGTCAATATTGACTTATTAAATAAGTGCATAGGTGACATATTAAACATAATAGATACCCTTAAAAAGCTTCATAGAAAACACCGACCTTACCTAACCTTCTTACTATGTTAAGATAAGCATCATATAGCTTTGTAATTACAATTGTTACTTAACCTATTATAGGTATAGGTTAAGTAATAATTGTAATTACGAAGCAATAAGATGCTTTTCTTAACATACTAACAAGGTTAAGTAAGGTCGGTGTTTTCTATGAAGCTTTTCAAGGTAAACTAGTATGTTTAGTATATCACCTATGCACGTAGTTAATAAGTCAATATTGACTATACAAATTTGCGAGAACGGGTTGCCTGCTTCATTTACAATAATAAAATAAACATTAAATATCAAGTAGGAAATTTATGATATTAGCTTGAACAATAAACCAGTTTTGTGGTTTGCAGTTAAACAAAGTTATCATACAATACTCGTACAAACTAGGAACTTACCTAGGACAACTACTTTTTTGTCGTGGATTAACTTCTTCAATAAACACAGCGTTATCTTCAATGGCTCTCTGAACACGATGTGCCAGTGTCGAGTTAGGGAATGCTAGACACAGGTCTATATCTTCTTCATATATCCGCTGCATGAATGGATCCGAGCGATCTAAAGTTGGATTCTGTTTCCATGCTATAAATTCTTTATGTACAACTGGATCCACCTAGAGGAAATTTACATTCATTTAATTATATTCATTATTTCAATATTAAAATGCACTGAATGTATTTCAATACTGGCCAAGTAGACAAACATATATCATACATATCTTTGACATAAGCATAACCACCGACCCTATGAGCACGAGGCAGAAGCTCTATCGACTTGGCTTTGAGTAGTCTCGATAAGGAAATATTCCAGAAGCAACTAATTGCTGCCCAGCTGGAATTTTCGACTTTCCCCTGACTATTGCTGAAGCTCAGAGGAATTAGTGATCCACACCACATCATATAAATTTGCAACAACACTACTGTGGAAATAAGACTACTCATAGCCCAGTTGGGCACTCATGGGGTTGCCAGTTCAAGTCTCCAAGTGCCCAGGTGAATGAAATGTTTACCTCCCAACACTCTGGGTCCAGTGGAAATTGTGAGAGAGCTGCTGCATCATTTATTCTGCTTTCCTTGAGTGGAGAACTTGGAGGAGTGGTATCTCGTCCATATTTGAGATCAAAGTCTGAAGGCGATTTCCGATGACCCCGTTGGAATATTTTTTTCCCTGGAAAGGTTTTCAATTTAGTAACTAATGCCTTAGTTTTTTACGTTATAAACTTTCTAGTTGTTTAACATCCAAAGGTATAGATATCTTTGAAAATATGAAAGAAAAATCATGTAAAAAAAAAAAAAGAAAAAAAATTCTAATAGATACACTACAATAAAAGAAATATTAGGAACTTGATATCTATAATCTTTTTAATTCATATACAGTATAGCATTATGAGCATACTCCTGAACACCCGTTTGTTAAGGCTTCCAAGGAGTAAGCTTTCCCAACCTGTTTCAGCGACACTCTTGCTGATGAGCTGTGGGTGTAGGTGTGGATTAGGGGCAGCTGGTGTGGAGGTGATCACTAGAGCCTTGAGGGCTGTTACCTCCGCCTGCAGCACCTCTACCTGCATTTCTGCCTCTCGCAGCGATCTTTCCGCACTGGCTGCACGCTGGTTGGCATTGTGAACCATACTGTGGGCTTCCTGAAATGAAATTAAAACAATATGAAGTTACTAGTATAATACATGTATTGACATTTATAGTAGGGTACATTGAACAATAGTACCTTGTATTAGGCATCGGAGTAGAAGAACTCCCAGAACCCCGTCCAGGTACAAGTGAAGAGGAGGGGAAGGGGGTAAAGAATAGCGGAGGGGGAAGTATAGCGGAGGGGGAAGTATAGCGGAGGGGGAAGTATAGCGGAGGGGGAAGTATAGCGGAGGGAGAGGTAAGAGGGAGGAATGGGGAAGAGAGATCGACTGTCCCGGGCACCACTGGGTAATTGATTGATTGATGAGGATTAAGCCACCCAAAAGGTGGCACGGGCATGAATAGCCCGTAAGTGGAGGCCCTTTTGAGCCATTACCAGTATCAATAGATGTGTAACGGTTCTATTGTTACGTAAAATATGGTGACAATAAACACAGACACTAAGATACTATATATATATTTGGTCGAATATACAGAAGTACACAGGTGATACTTTGGTGTGAGTTGAGCGCACTGAGCGTCGGTACAGTATCTCGCAAGTGTCTGCTCTAGACCACACTTGAAAGTAGACTCTGGTTAATGTTTGCTATTCTGCTGCTTATATGCCCGGGCAACGCCTCACCTCATTCATCTCCAAAAGTTGACAGGAATATTAACAATGCATTTGGAGCGAGTTTATTGGAATAATCTACTCGCTACAGATGATACTGGAGATCTGTCGAGGTGCGACTGCACCCTGTGTGACGGGAGATGTCTCCCGTGTGGTTGACCACCGGGTAAGAGAGAGAGAGAGAAGATTAAGCCACCCAAAAGGTGGCTTGGGCATGAATAGCCCATAAGTGGTGGCCCTTTTGAGCCATTTCCAGTATCAATAGATGATACTGGAGATCTGTGGAGGTGCGACTGCACCCTGCGTGACGGGAGATGTCTCCCGTGACCACCGGGTAACATTTCTATCACTATATGTACTGTACATCTAAACTACACCTGACCCAACACAACTTGCAGCTACCCCCCCCCCCCCATGCTTCATACAGCCACCCCCCCTTCCCTCCTGCTTCACACAACCACCCCCCCCCCTTCCCTCCTGCGTCACACAGCCACACCTCCTCCCTCCTGCGTCACGCAGCCACCACCACCTGCACCAGAGGGTGGCTGGTGGACGATCATGGACGCGGAGAGACACGTCACCTTTAATAAGGAAGACAACTATCCGCCTGGTGATGACATCTGCGTGTTCACTCACCGCCATGTCCGCGTTATCGCTCCTCAGTCACTCCTACAACACTACCTATGGTGACTCTGTGCAAGTATGTCCACGGTCTGTCACCTGACATACGACCTTTTAATGACCCATTCATACGACTCTCCCTGGGGCCTCGTGTAATCTTTTGTGTGTGCAATGTAAGACTCCTCAACATCAACAATAGCAGAGTACTTGCAACAAGAGGTAGACATTAGCACATAATAATAATAATAATAAATATTGGGAGTGACACCAGCAGCCAACAATACTACAAACATTGACCCAAGTTCGATCAATCTGAGTTCAAAGAAAGTTGGTAAATTACCGGAAACCATGAATGGTTGTGGGTCGAGCCCAGAAGTGATCCCTCGAACCACACATAGTTATGGGTTGAGCCCAATTAAGGGATGGGTTATGAGCGTCCTGTCTCTCGCTTCAGTTGCTGTTCCACCATGATCTAGACTTTGCTGCCTTGGAAGACCAGCATAACATCGAGTATACTAAAGACTTCGCGGGAGCCTTCGACAAATGTGACCATTGCCTCGGGCTGGGCTTGGGGAGTAGAACTCCCAGAACTCCATCAAGCAGGTGGTTTACAAACACACAAATGCGAGCACCTGGTTGATGGGGTTCTGGGAGTTCTTCTACTCCCCAAGCACGATGGGAGGAATTTCTTCATAAGGTCAGATGTAAGATGTAACACAAACGAGGAGCAACGGGTTCAAGCTCAACAAATCACAATGTAGGGCAGAAAACAGGAGACGCTTTTTCACCCATAGGGCTATAAAACCCGTGGAACCGCCTACCCGCCGAAGCCATAAACACCAAAAAACTGCTGGGGTTTAAAATACAACTAGAAATGATCATCAGGGCAAATTGGAGGGGGAACCATAACAAGCCGCCGGCTTCTTGTCATCGAGGCCGCTAGTATTAGTCGCCCTCGGGTAAACTCATGTAAATTTGAGATAATAAGGAGATGGATTTCAACGCGCTATCAACCTCCCAACACAAATACTCATAACTACAGGGTAAGACAGTCGACCTCGTTCTCGGCTATCGGGAATTCTGGGTTCGAATTCCGGGCGGGAGAGAAATGGTTGGGCGCGTTTCTGTTCACCTTCACAAAACCGTAATCCACACAACGGTCGCAGTAATCCGATTTTTGGGGGACGGGACCTCTATACAAGCCTAACATATATACGCACTGGCTGACTGTCCCCGGACACAATGAATTTAAATCCGACAAACTTTAATACAATATATCGCGAGAATAGTTTCAGGTGTGCTTCATAATAAAGTTTAAACTCGAGCTGATAGAAAACAGCTGAAAACGTTGAATTTGAAATTCGAATTTAAAAACGCAGTTACAGAGCGGAAGGTGAAGACAAGAGAGTAATCCCGCCAAGACGACTTCACACACACGAACGACGCCACCAAGGCACTCTACACTTCTGAAACTGAGAGCCGCGTGTGAACACATTCCGCTATGCAGAAAGCAAATGAGATATAGATATCAGGAAAGGAAGCGCTGGGTGGAGGGGAGGGATTGGGGGGGGAGGTACAGACCACAATTGGGTCTTCCTGTCGGCCGCATTTGACAAGGGAAAACGGGCGGGAAGAAGAGGACGAGCTATCTCCCACCTGTCCCAGAGCCAGGGACGGGCTATCTCTCACCTGTCCCAGAGCCGGGACGGGCTATCTCCCACCTGTCCCAGAGCCTGGACGGGGTCTCTCCCACCCGTCCCAGAGCCTGGACGGGGTCTCTCCCACCCGTCCCAGAGCCTGGACGGGCTATCTCTCACCCGTCCCAGGGCCGGGACGGGATCTCTCCCACCTGTCCCAGAGCCTGGACGGGCTATCTCTCACCCGTTCCAGGGCCGGGACGGGATCTCTCCCACCTGTCCCAGAGCCTGGACGGGCTATCTCTCACCCGTCCCAGAGCCTGGACGGGCTATCTCTCACCCGTCCCAGAGCCTGGACGGGATCTCTCCCACCTGTCCCAGAGCCTCACCTTCTCTCCCCTTTCCCCGAGGGACAAAATAGTCGCCATTCCCACTCGCTACCCTAACACACACTTATACCTGGAGTATACATCAATACATGGAGTATACCTTGAGTATACCTTGAGTATTCCTAGAATGGGTTGTAGTAGTAGTTATACTCACCATGCCTGGCTGGGCCCATGATAAATTAAATACCATAGACGATATATGATAGCCAGAAGTAAATAAGTATCAAAAGGCACCAAGCTGGGAAGGCTATGTAGCACTCTACGATACTTGATAGAAGACTATCGTTCGTCAGTACTGGCTAGACTGCACTTGTAACGCCACGCGTGTACCTGGTTGATGGGGTTCTGGGAGTTCTACTCCCCAAGCCCGGCCCGAGGCCAGGCTTGACTTGTGAGAGTTTGGTCCACCAGGCTGTTGCTTGGAGCGGCCCGCAGGCCCACATACCCGCCACAGCCCGGTTGGTCCGGCACTCCTTGGAGGAATAAATCTAGTTTCCTCTTGAAGATGTCCACGGTTGTTCCGGCAATATTTCTTATGCTCGCTGGGAGGGTGTTGAACAACCGCGGACCTCTGATGTTTATACAGTGTACAGTTTATACTTATACACTTCACTATATGTTCTCTAAATGTGTGAGAGAGCGCGAACAACTTGTGAGGGGTGTTTTGGCGTGTCAAAAATCATTATAGTCTAGATGAATCTTCTACTTGTGGAGTGAATACAAACCTGCTGGAGAGCATGGCACAGGAAGCCGTCCACGTGAGTGGTTACAGACCTCGCTCCCAGCATCAGTTAGTGGTAACACCAAAGCTATTTCACATCTATTTGTTAGTTCTTGTAAGAGTAAATATATATATTCTTCGGGGGCAGATCAGTGAAGGTGTGTGTGTGTCAGTAGGCCAGAAGCACTACGCTCGTGCACCCCGGGCCGGGATTCACCGAGTACTTGCAGGTACCAGAGATGCGCCTCAACTGTGTGTACTTAACAGTCGGGGAGCTGTGGAGTGCTGTGGGATGGTCTCATGCACCCACTGTGCCTCCAGCTGTGGTGCTCTCAACACGCGGCGCTCCCAACCTCCTCGCAGCAATGTGACACGTGTTGCACAACGACCCTCCCCCACCTCACACAGCACCACCTATGCTAACTATAACAATACCGTTGACTAAACCACACACTAGAAAGTGGAGAGACGACGACGTTCCGGTCCGTCCTGGACCATTATCAAGTCGACACAATCGACTTGATAATGGTCTTGAAAGCACATATATATTGGCGAGTGGTACGTTCTTGCAAAGCCACCAACACGCACATAGCATCTTCAGCGAGTCTTGAAAGAAAAAACTGGTCTACTTGTATTACAAAATCGCTACTTAACGTCCTTCAGTTCGCTAGTTCCAGCAGTTCACATCTGGCAACCGTGCAGGGGGCCGCTGGCACCGGTTGTTGCCATCGGCTCCCCGCACTGTCCGAGTACACCAGAGGACCTGCTACTCACCCCAGCTACCGGATGTGCCTTCACACACACACACACACACACACACACACACACACACACACACACACAGATCCTACACCTAGCAGTCCGGTATATCTCTCGTTGTCTCTACTCTCGTAAACAAATCAACTGTTTTGTCTTACTAAAGTGTTTAATTGCGTAAACATGCAACATATTGGTGAGGCCAAGTTGCTGGTGAGGGTACGTCTTGCCTCCACCACACACACTACGTCATCTCCAC